ATGCCGATGAAGCGCTTTGTGTGGGGAGCTTAGCCTCTGAACGAATTTACTGAAGTTTTAGTTGTTCTTCATTTGCTCCCACAACACTAGTGTTTGAAAACACTACTCACCACACATTAGGTTGTAAACTTCTATATTTTCAAAGGGATCCACTTCTGTTTTCTCTTTAAAGCCTGGGCCATATCCTAGGAATATAGCCTAGATTGCAATAATAAAAAAAAAAAGTTGTTATCTAAAGTAAGGAAAATTCAAAAACAAATAAGTGAGATTTCAAAGAACCAGGGACCAAAATACGGCTTTTCACAAATCATCAAAGTTAAAATACAGCATTCATCTGATAAAGAAGGCAAATTTTGCTCATTATATATTATCTGAAGAAGAGTGCAAAACATAAAATATTTCTCAGGTTAGTTACAACTATATATGAAATCTGTTTTTTTTTCTTTAGTATTTCTGTGCATAATTATAGAAATTATTGTTTGCTGTGTTTCAAATTCATACTTTTTATATTTTCATTGCAAGAGCTGGTAAAAGTAATACCATTTTAACAAATATTAAATTATGACACAGATCCTACTTAAAGTCTAATACCAACCCAGGAATATAACAGGGCTTATTTTTTTAAAATGTGAGTCACATTTTCAGAGGTCTTTAGGAAGCATGGGAGCCTATAACCATGGCTATTGCTGCCATGGCTATTTCTGCCATGGCTATCACAGAGAGCAAAATGCTGGGAAGACCTATCCCAAGTTTAGCAGGGACCTGAGTTAGTACCACCAGTGGTAAAATATAGTGCTGGGTGGCCCTTCCTTGCGTCTGAAAGTAGAACAGCAGAACAGTTCCAGGCTTGAACTAGTTTCTACCACATTATAAGCTGCTGAGCTGCCTGCTACAAGATACAGGAAATATGACTAAACAGGAGAATGATCTGCTCTAACATAATATTCATATGTCTTCATATAAGAGAAGAAATTTTAATATATTTTTAAAAACATCACTAGACACAAAGATATGTTATCTTTTCTTATGAACACATCTTTTTTTATAAATAATTATTTTTCCTTAGTCATTGTGACATCAGGATAAGATTCACTATGATTAATATTTCCGTGGTTTAACACGAATTTTTACTTGCTTTTGCCATGTAAACATTCAGGAATGTCCTGAGCAGTTTACTGGCATATGGTTATAATATAGATGTGGAGATTCAGCTGAAGTTGATTCCTGTAAGTAAAATATACCAGGTACAGAATACAGGATTATTAGTGGTATGAGCTCATTTAAAGTTTCACATCACAGAGCATAGACAAAATACTATCTTAAAAACTCAAGACCTAAAAACATTCTCGCTGTAACTAGAGTGAAAATGAGAGGAAACTGCAATACAGGTTATTCTAACAACGCAACTTTTTACCTGCCTTGGACCTGCCATCAGGGTAAGTTAATTAAGCAGAGAAGAGAAGCTTTACATAGCATCACAGAATCACAGACTGGTTGAGGTTGGAAGGACCTGTAGAGATCATCTATTCCGACCCCTCTGCTCCAGTAGGGACACCTAGAGCACATGGCACAGGGTGGCATCCAGGTGGGTTTGGAAGATCTCCAGAGAAGGAGACTCCACAGGCTCTCTGGGCAGCCTGTCTTTAGATAAGCTTCTCTAGGTAGGCCCTTTGGATGCTCAACTGAGCTTCCAGAGGCTATGAAGATTTTTCAGTCATTACTCCAGAAGAATGAAAGAATGAAAGCAAGTAATAATGGGAATTGAAATCCGGTTTACTTCATTATGCTTGAGTCTATCTGGCTCCACAGACTAAAAGTGAGCCAGGAAAAGTTTCAGTGCTGCATTCCACAGAAGCTCGACATGTACACATTGATGTAGGCAATTTGAATATGGGGACCCAGTATGCAATCATGGTTTAGATGCCTGGATGACAGACCAAATGACAGACCATTTTAAAAATTATAATGTGTTCTATATTCTAGTGGTTAATCCAGCACATAATGATTTTCTACATGAAAAGACACAAGATTTGAGTAAAAGTATCTTACCTGCATACTTTTAAATTCATTGTCATAGCCATGGTTGCCCCCATCACAACCTGTGTATCTGTTGTCTCTAAGAAGAAAGCATCATATGTTGTAAATAAAAGTGACATAATTAGAACCAGTTAGTAATTGTCATCCTGAATCACTGGACTCTGAATCTTGTCTTAAGAATAGAGTGACATAAAATTATACTACTTTTTGCTCATGCAGTCTTGATTTTTATGAAAATTTCCCTTTCTCTTACATAATAGCAATCGTTATGGACAGAAATAAAACATATCCTGGGTAGCTACTCAGTGCACAGTGAATCAACTTTTTGGAAATTAATTGAAGAAATGACTATTTTTAACTGAGGCCCACCAGAAAGTTTCAAAACACTGTATCTGATGAGGAAGAACTACATTTTCAGTTATATTATGTAATATCTGCATTTTAATATAAAACATACATTGGTAGAACAAAGCAGTTACCTCATTTGGAAAAACGTAATTAAGATTGCAAGGGATTTGGCCTTATAAGTGTGGAATTTCATCACAGATACTGGACTGCAATGCTCTAAGTCTTAAGCAAAATCAAAATGAGGCATTCATGATGGAAGTAAAAAGGACAAGGAAAGGATGCAAAAGATAAGAAGCAGTCCCAAAGATGATGTTACCTTACAGCGAGCCACTGTTGATCCACCAAAAGATGTACTTTGTCGATACGAATGTTGTTAGCGTAATGGAAACGTTTTGGCAAGTTAGGTGTCAGGTAGGGTTTGAAGTGCTGGATGGATCTTTTGCACTATGAAACAGGAAAGAGCCCAGTCATGAGTTTGTTTTCAGCACTGAAAGTAAACCCACCATAAAGCCACCATTCAACACCAACACAAACATCTTAGTGACAAAAATGCAAGCACAAAACACATTCACCAACAGTTGCCCCTGCTACTAGTTGATCTCATTTTTGGCCCAAGAAGCAATGGAAGGAAAAGTGGCTTTTTGGAACTGTTTAAAAATATACGGCTATAATACACATAGTAAGTGTACCAATACTGTGAAAAAATATTGCTCAGGCTGGAAGACATTTAGTAGTAAAATTATTATTAATGTGACTGGCTTCTGATATATCAATTTACGCTCTACAAGAGAAAGTTTCCTAGAAGTTTGTGTTCTACAATCTTCTATTACTTTACCAGCCAATAAACAAAGCAAAATGCATCTTGCTTATCAAAAGTCCTTTGGAAATCCCTTTAAAGTTATAAGCAGCTAAATCTCTTAACTTGGAAGCAGCAAATGTTCAGTCTGTGGAGTGCTTTCTTATAAACGTATAAGCATAAGAGGTCACCAGATATCTTGATGTCACTTCACGAATGACTCACTCTGATAATTTCTTTTTTTTTTTTCGATTCATCAGCAGTTCCTTAGAAAACAGCTAACAGTTGAAATGCACCACAGAAAAGAAATGGCAGTATAACTATAAAAACTTGAAGATTTCTCAATAGTTCTTACAGGAAGATGCTGTGTAAAGAAAATAGAAAATTTGGATTTCTGTATCATAGGCAGTACTAGCTTGCTGACAAGCAATAATAAAATGACTGCAAGAATGGAAAATGGAGCAGTTATGTGTAAGTGTAGGAAGCGTAGCAAAGCAGAAGTACAAAGTGTGGGAGCGTCAAAGATGATTTAAGAGACTTGAGGACTGTTCTCATTTGCTCCCAGGAATTTATTCCTCAGCAGTCCCCCAGCCATGTCTTTTTTTTGAAGCCACATTCCCCCTGCTAGGTCTGGAGGCACTGAGGTTACACCAGGCTTGGCTCACTAAGGATTTTTGCAACAGCAAGAAAATCTGTAGTGTTGCCTGTACACATCCATCCAATTAGTTTGGTATATCCTAAAGCTCACATTGGCTTCCTAAAAGTATCTTGTACTTTTATCAAGTACTGCAGAAAACACTTAAAAAGAAAGCAAAGCATCTACCAGTAGAGGTTGGCATCCACCAGCTGGGGAGCAGCTTGGCAGAGAAAGGGCAAGCAGCCTTGGTAGAAAACAAGATGAACATGACCCTTATGGCAAAAGTGGCCAATGGTACATTGGGCCGCATTAGACAATCATGAAAGAAACCCAAAGGAACCCAGGAAGAGGAGAAATGGGATTCAGTGGATTTCTTAGTCCAGGGGGTGAGATCATCCCACAAATGATAGTCTAGTGAAAAAAAAAAAAAAAAAGACACCATCCTGGAATATGAATGTATGTCTATCAATTCCAGCAATTAATATACAGCACACAAGCTCTCAGCCTAAAGCCATCCTTCTAACAACATGAAGGAGAGAAAATACACAAGCTCCAACTACTCATGGACAGAAAAGGAAAGTGCCCAGATACCAAGCTATTCCTATACAGCAGACCTGTCATATCCCTTCCTTATTTGCCATTGCAGTTTCATTGGGACTTTAGAGATGCTATTTCTCTCACACTACTGTTCCAGCACGTACAACGGGGTAGAAAGCTGAACACTGACAAGTCTCTTTCTTCTATTCCCACCAATTGGAAGTACCCTAAACTTCTCAGCTGTGGATTATAAGACTGTGGTGAATAAATGATGTGTTCTTAAGTATTAAGAATCAGGAACAATTTATACAAGAACGTGCACTGCTCTTTAGATTTTATATAGCAAAACCTACATGTGGTATTGCACAACAAAGTTTTTCACCAGATTATGGGAAGACCTCTAGTGGTGATTTATTAGAAATATCCTCAGCTAAGACCAACTTGAAATGGAATCCAAGTTATGAATATTCATTCTAAAAATAATAGAACATCTGTCTCCTGCTTGGCCTAGGACTAGTCAGAATGGAAAATGACCTGGCAGTAAACGAAAGAAGGGGAAACTGTGACAACACAAGGATACAAATCTAATTTCACTTTTAACTCACTGTAAACTATAAATGTAAAGAAGTACAGCCAAGCTTCCTATAAGTATGATAGTTTGACCTTCGTGTTCATCGCACACATATTAAGGCAGATTTAAAACACTATAAAGACAGTGAATTATCTATCCTTAAAAACACAGAGG